GATCACGATTGCGCCATTATTGTTTTGTCGTGCAGCCCTAATTTCACATATGACATTTTTACAAGTCATATAAGGAAGTTAGGTCTAGGATCACAATGCTAATGCTCAACACAAGTGCCTGCCAGCTGGCTGTTATTTGTTGCAATAAGTCTCATAGCTGCAGATAGTTGTGTTATTTTTCTGTCCTGTTTCTGTTTTCATTCCAGTATTGAAAGCTGCTTTAAAAGGCGTACCTTCTATGTATTTTCTGATTTTCTCTAGGCTTAGGCGGTGCCTCCCATTATAACACGACTCACCTTAATTAAAAAATAAATAAATAAATAAAATCCTTTTATTATTCTGCTGTACCTTTTTGTTTTTAATGCTGTAGGGAATGTGCAGCTTCCTCCAATACTATCTAAGCCCCAACAGCCCCTTTTTAATGAACAGCAGGAGAAGTAAGGCGGTTCTTGAAGCTCGTGCTACAAAACGGGCTGTTTGCGCTCTCTGTCAAAGTGTTTTATTGATGCACGATACTGCGAGAGGCGAGGCAGATAATAGGCAGGCGGGGGGCAACTCTGTGGCATTATGTTGCCTCTGACTGATTTATATCGGCAACATGCCCTCTGTAAGTCTCCCCCTCACACCCTCACTGATGTGATTTTTACAGTAGTGACATTGATCCGGGCCTTCTTTGATCTTGCTCTGAGCTGTTGCTATCTCTCGCTGCTCCCCAGTGGCCACACTCTGCTGCTTTTTAACCCCAACTACCCCTTGTCTCATCTTATAAGTCCTCCATCTCTCCTGCCGATCCTTCCATCTCTCCATCTCGCTGGAGGATCTGTTTATATATAAGTGTTTGTTGGCTCTTGGAGTCTGCTGCTCAGCTCCTCCGAGGTGTGCTGCTGAAGAGGCGGCTCATTGAACTGGACTCTTATCTGCTCTAACTGGGCTGGTAGCACTTCAAAGAGAGAAAATTAGTGGGGATTTTACAGTAAAAGAGTGAAGAAAATTCACAATTTAACAGAACATAATCAAATACACAGTCGCAGCCAAAGAGCAAGACGTAAGTAGTAAGTAGCTGCACGGTGCTTGATAAATTCAACAGAAAGTAAAGAATATCATATCTTTGGCAAAATATGTATCTCCATATTTATTTCTATTGAGCTTAGAACATTTACAGGCTAAAAAGTGTGTGTTTTTTTTTTATCTTTGATGCATTTTTGAACATGAAAAAATTGAATTCCCACTGTTTGAAGTGCCAGTCACTCATCAGTCATTCGCAACAAAACTGGCCAAATTGATGAGTCCATCACTTTTCATAGAAAATATGGGAACGAAACCTAAAGATATTTCAATCTGGAGAGACTCAAACGGAGAAAGAAGGCGATTAAAAGAGTTTAATGACAAAATGAACATGAAAATAAAAAGTCCTTTGGCGTTCAGGCCCCGGCCGGGGACATCGAGCTGGACTTCGATGAGCTCGATGAACATTCCTGATGCAGCATAGGAATGTAGACCCCCCGGGGCCTGTACTGGTGGCGGCGGTCGGAGGAAGATGAGGCCTGAGAGCCGGGAGCAGAAGGTGGAGATGGGGTGGAGGTGGGTTGATCGCAGCTGGTGAGCAGAGGAGGCCATGGGTGAAGGTCCTTTTAAACTGGAGCCCAAACGATGATTGGCTGGAGCGAGGCTTGGTCCGCGCCGATAGGTCCAGGTTGCAGAGAGGCGGGCGCTGATTGATGAGGCAGGTGCGACTAGAGTCTTCCAGACTGAACTTCAGTCAAGACTCCATGACTGCAGAAATTGGAACAATGTGACACCAAGAAATAATTTAGAAATGAGTTTTGGTCATGAATAATTATATTTACAATTTTCCCCTGCAGCTTGGAGAAAATTGCAAGAACAGTATGATAGTTTTACAACTACACTGTAAAGAAAAGAAAAGAAAAAAATCTAGTTTACAGTAAAGTATCAGCAGCTTTGGTTGCCAGAATTTTACACTAAAATGTATATGTTAAATTTTACTGTATAAAATTTTCCGTATACGAAAACGCACCAACTATTGTTCGACTCTCACTTGTTTCTCAGCAAAAACCTTCAGGTTACAGTTTGTATCTTCTTATAGAAAAACAACAACAAAACAAGTAATTTGGGTAAAATTGTACAGATTAAATTCAATAAGGCATTGCCTACTTTTTTTATTTCAGCAGATAGAAATAGTAAACAGAAAAACCTAGACACGCAAATCCTCAGTGTCTTATTTTTTTTTTTTTAATTAAGGTGAGTCGTGTTATAATGGGAGGCACTGCCTAACCCTACTCTCAGTCATTACAAAGTCCCTTTTTACATGGATGAGAAGCAATTTGTTTAAACATCCTTATGCTTAATAATAGTAGCAGATGTATTTCCCTGTGCAGATAAGATTACAGGTTTGATATCTGAAGTGATTGTCTGAATACATTTTTCACGCGGCTCCTCCGTCCTGCCATATTCCCTGTTATCTAATCTTGCTATTAAATTGGCCACATCTTATTTTCCGACTACCCTTGACATAAAACTACTTTCGCTTTATGCTGTTCAAGCACTCTGATGAGAGTTTAACATGAAATTTCATCGGGCACTTATTTCTTTCCACGTGCGTATGCACTAAATATCCCCCTTAGATCTCACTGCATAAAATACAGTGTTTGTTTTGTGCATTGTGCAACATCGCATGTACAGTGGGGATCTTACAGCCAGCTTTTATCTTTTGAAAGTCATTTACTTTCAGATTGCTCCAGGATGATGCCCCCAGATTTCCACCTCCCCCCATTATCCCTTCATCTCAGTAAACTTGCTTTTGTTTGGGAGCGTGAAACACTCCAACCGCATCTTTTTAAGTCTCTTACGTTTCTGCTCTCGGAGTTCTTTCTCTTAATTTGCATTTACACCTCCCTCGTGGAGCGAAGCTCACTCTTGCTCTTTATGTTTTTTTTTTGTTTGTTTTTTTTTAATTTTTGTCCTGATTTATGTCTCCAGGAAACATGAAAGAAATTAGTTGTTCTTCTAATGTTATATTTAAAAAGTAAAAAGTGTTAGTAAATGACATAACGAGGGAACGTGAAGGAAGGTGAGTGGAGAGCAGAAGGTGGGTTTTTAGCTGTCTTTGTTACTAAAAGAAAGACATGAAAAAAAACCCCAAAAAAACAAAGAACTTTGAGAGAAAAGACAAATCCAGGAAGGGTTTTTAAAGTGAGCTGAGAAACACAGCAGCAAGAGAGAGAAAGGGAGAGACAGAGACACTGGGAACAGAGGTTCGATCTTCATTTAATAATTGAATAATAATCTCCCTGGAGATGTGACCTAGAACTGGCAAACAGGGAGAGAGGCTAAAGATTACACTCTGCTGCCCCCTTGTGACTTTATCCTGTCACTGATCTAACTTTTGAGTTAGCGAGTGTGCACAGATGATCATCGATGTGTGTATGATTTACAACTGCAAACGGTCTGTGTCACACAGATATGGGCCTGTGTATGTGTGATGGGGAGGGAAAGGAAGAGGCCTTTGGGTGACAGGAAGGAATCTATTTTACTTTGTCTCACGCACACACACGCACACACACACGCACACAGCTTCACAATCAGACCTTATCTTTCTGTCAAGCGGAGCCTTTTTTAGGGTTGACGCTGATATATGAGCTGGGAGGATGGAGAGGAACGTTGCCAGGACTTTGACGGCTGATGCGAGCGCAGCATATGCGCTCCGGTTGATGTACGAGCGCAGGGGTTAGGGGACAATGCAGCGCTGACACCAGGAGGAGAAGCTTGTGGCCCTGGGCCCTTGAGTCCATCCTGAAGAGGAAGCTCTGCGTTCTTTAAATACAATAGCCCGGCAGGAACGAACGCAAACACACACCTGCTTTGTGTTATTAATATCTGGATGAGGTGAAGGCATTCCTGCAGAAAGAATGCAAACACCACATTCTGATGTATTTGCATCATGTCTTTGTGGTATTTTAGCAGCTGACTACATGGCTAACGTGTGTGTAGCTGAAATTGCTCAAATCTGCTGAGAATTAAAACTTTTGTTACTGGTTTGAAGATTGATTGAAAGACATTACATAAATTAATTTAGAAAAGGGTGAAACTTTTCGCTTTGATTCTCCTTTAAGTGTTCATAGTTTCATCAAAAATGCAGCATAATGTTACATAATGTAATATAACGGCGGGGAAGGGATGTTCAGGGTGATTTACGGTGTTCATTTTTCTGCACACACTTAGAAGTGAGAACGTTTCATGTTGTCATCCGACTAGTTTTCTTTTATAGGTTTGCTGTGTCTCCTTCATGATGGTAAACTATAGTATGATTTCTATGATGATGATTTCTTATCTTTTTCTTTTAATGGTTGCTTACCTTTTAATGGTTGACCTGGTCAGCAGGTTCTCCCACCTCAGCTCTGGGTCTCTTCCAGAGTTACCACATGCCCCTCAGCTGTCTCTTAATTAAAACTATCCTCCTCCGCATGCCTCCATGTTCAAAGTTTAATATCATCCATATGTTATTTAAGCTTCTTCATAACTTTCTCCTTGACCTGTCTTTTGTGTGTTTTTCATTATGCTTTCTGTTCATTAATGTTCTCTAACAAACCTCTGAGTCCCTCAAATCCTTTAAAAGTTGTTTGCAATACTGGTTTATCGCATAAAACCTGACAATATGTAAATATTTTTTTAAGATTGTGAATGGTCTAATTTATCATGTTCTTTGATTGCATTAGTACCTATTAGTTTGTAATTTAAAAGAATGGAACGGACTCGTCGAACATCCTGACTGATTAGTTTATCCAAAATAATTTGAAAAAAGGTTACACCTACATAAACTGTGGAATAATTTATGTAAATTGACATCATAATTTTATGTAAATTGTAATTAGGTAATTTTTACACAATATAGTAATTTTATGTAAATTGACATAGCTTAATGCCAATGCAAATACTTAATGTAGAATTTCATACACAGTGTTGTGTTTTTCCTGTTTGCACAGTCTACGCAGAGAGGGTTACACGATGCAGGTGAACGTCAACGACTACCTGGACATCTACTGCCCTCATTACAATGACACCCAGCGCATGGTGGGCACCGGAGAGCAGTACGTCCTCTACATGGTCAGCTACCGCGGCTACAGGAACTGCGACCCTCAGCTTGGCTTCAAGAGGTGGGAGTGCAACCGGCCCCACGCCCCCCACGCACCCATCAAGTTCTCGGAGAAGTTCCAGCGCTACAGCGCCTTCTCGCTGGGCTACGAGTTCCACGTCGGCCAGGAGTACTACTACATCTGTGAGTGGAGTTGAACTAGCAACCTGCACCGAGAAGTATGTCAGTATAACTGATGTCCTTGGGGTGTTAAAGGAGTGGAAAAAAAATGTATGAATCGCTGAAGATTTGAAGAGGAAACTGTAAAGTGAGAGGAAGCAGTTGACAAACTCTTGGTTTTAAGGTTCTGTTCCGTGTTCCCTGATTGGAAAAAATATATATATATATTTATATCTGAATTTTAATACATGACCAGATGATTACTGTTTACTAGAATTGACTGACTAGAATTATCTGAATTATATTGTTGCATTACTATCTCACTTAAATGCTCTCAAAATCATAATCTGGCTGAGAAACGTGATGTTTCTCACCAAAACCAGCTCCAAAATCCAAAATGGCATCTTGGCATCGTAAGAAAAAGATCCTGATAGATTGAAACAGGTAAAATAAAGATAGGCGTATTTTTCATTGCTCATTGTGGTTAGCTTTGTGACTGAGCACCGCAATTAACAAATCCCTCCGGTTTTCCAGCATTCGGCTGGAGAATGGTTGTCAGATCACACGTAGCTCCCAGATAAGACCTCCGAGCCAAGCAGAACACAGTATCGTTTCAGGATAACAAATTACTGCTTCATATCTAATCACATCACCTTGCAGTCAAGCAGCCTCATTCATTTTGTTGACTGCTCATCAAATTAACGGGCTGCACCTTGTGCCGAAATGACACCGCGTGAGTAATGAACTTTTGGGTCTCGTCAGCAAACAGTTCGACAACAAATGTCATAAACAAACTCCTATAATCAGCGCGGTGCCCGTTCAGCCCACGATGCTTAATGGAAGATGTCTCCAGAACGTTCTGCTCCGCCGCGCAGCAGTGAGAAAGCTGCTCAGCGTTGTCGCAAACGGAAGGATGCCTTGGTCTTTGTTTAGTTTTCCACTGGGTGTTGTTTCCACAAAATCTCATAACGGACTTAAAATGATCCGATGAAAGTACTTTTTTTTTTTTTTTTTTTTTTTTTTTTTTTAATGGGTTTTTTGGTTAAATTATCCAAATAAAAAATGTCTAAGCTTTAAGAGAGTATTTGACCTATTTTTTAAATTCTAAAAGAGACGTTTAGAACCTGTTTTATAGATAACTGTAACAGCAGGCAGTGCTGGTAAAGTGCAGGTGCCTGGATGTTATTAACAATGGGTCTGTAAGTGTCCCAGTAAGCACTGACACCTGTCAGCCTGGAGCCGAATAGATTTAATTTACAATTATTGTCATTCATGCTCGAATTTTCACATGAAGAAACTGTAAAATAATTTACTTTTCCTATTCTCTTTTTAATTACATATCTATATTTTATTCCTTATTGTAGACCAACAAAGTTATTTTGATGGTTTTATTGACCACAAACATATTTCTTAGACGGAGTGGTTCTTGCATCAATGGTTTCCTGGGCAACCGCTCCTTCGTCCTCATCCCAGCCAATCAAAATCTAGGAAATCCTCTAAATTCTGTGTCAGAACAAAATGTGCCTGAGTCCCATAACGTTCCTTTTCTCTGCAGCAAGAACCAACACCCTGGTAATCTCAAATGCATAAAAACTACATAAAACTTGTTTAAAGAAGCAACTAAAAGTTTTTTTTTTTTATCTGCTACTGAAAGTTTCATAGAACTCAATGACCTACTGAGGAGATAAATTAGCTTTAATTCACTGGAGTTGACCAGACTAATTTTAGCGTACGGCACACTGAAACCTGAAGTGCCATCCAGATTTAGCCTTTTACCCTTTTTCTAACTGAGTCACTACAGGCTCTTTTTGCACTTTGGGTAAAAAAAAAAAAAAAAAATTGAAAGCCTCAGTTTTTCATTTTCTCCTTTTAAGCAATGCATCTTGTTTTAATTTTCAATATTTAATCGATATTCTCGTAACTGTTTTACTGATTGTAGCACATTAAGATTTCTATAAATTTAAAGTGCTGTATACATGAAATTCATTAGTGCAGTTATTATTAAACAGAGCAGCAGTGAAATATGTGGTTTGGTCCCTTGGTATTAAATTATAGTGAAATTTAAACAAAAGGCTACCACATCGTGTTAAAACTCTAGTAAGGGTACGTTTTACTGCACATAACATCTGCAGCTGACAAGAGGAAACCAACCTGCCTCTTGTGTGTTCACCATTTTGATCCGCTGTTTGCTTTACGTTGCGCAGCCACACCCACTCACCACCACGGACGCAGCTGTCTCAGACTACGCGTGTACGTCTGCTGCTCCACAGGTATGCCCCCCGTGTTGTGTCTTTGTTTGTATGCGGTTTGAACTCTGTTGAAACGCTCTGACTTTGCTGCAGATTTTTACCTGTGGACCGCCATTTACACCTTTTTCAATCTAAAAAAAAAAAAAAAACAAAAAAAAACACCGCCGGTTCACACAAGTCCCCTCTCTTTGCTCCTCATTGTCCCCCTTCTTCCCTTTATCCCCCTCTTCCTCCTCCACAGAGATCAGTTTCTGCTTTAAAGACCCCATCACCTCCGCCTCCTTCCTGTCCTCTTCCCCTCTCTTTCCTGCTCTTTCACCCTTTCTTTGCCGCTCTCTGTCAGAATCCATTAATTGCTCTGTTCGGTCAGTGGGTGGCTATGTATACGTACCGTTATGCTCCCCCCCACCCCCTCTCTCTCTCTCGCTCTCCCTCTCTTTCTCCGCTGCCACCTTTCAGTTTCTCCGCCCGCTCACACATGCGCTCACACATGCGCTCACACACACTCGTGCTCGTGTACACACAGTCTTTGATCCCTGGCCTGTCCGGTCCTTTTAACTTCCACAGCCCTGTAGTATTAACCTCTCCTCCCTCCTTCAACTCTGCAACTCCATCCCTTTCTTCTCGCACACTGGCCCTCTTCAGTTTTGATCTGCCGTCCCTCACAGCCCTCTTTCTCTCTTTCCCCATCTCTTTGTTGAGAGCTCTGCTGATGTTACAGCTTGTCAGTCTAGTCTGCTCTGGGCTTTTTTAACCTCTGCACCCTTGTCTTGCCACTCTCTTGCATGTTCCCCCTCAAGATGTCAGAATGGATGTAATTAAAATCCTTTAGGCTGGAACAGTAGTTTAAACCCCAGCTCTCTGGTCAGCTGTGATTTAGTTTCACACAATGTCTTCTGTTTTCTCTCTCCCTCCCTCTCTGTGTCCCTGCAAGCCTCTGATGTGGATGATGAGCCAGAGCCCACAGAACCAGACTACACGCTGAGACCAGGCCTAAAAATCGATGATATTGGTAAGTGTTTAAGAGCATACTAATGAAATTAGGTTAGAGTGTTACATACAGATCTATACTCATTGGCATCAATGCAATTTGATGAAAAGTGTGAATGTAAATTAAATTTGAGTAACATTTGTAGTCTGTAGCATTGTTACGTAAAGGAAGATGGAAAGCATAGGGCGTTCAAAGCATGATAAATGAATAAATGCAATTGAACTAGAGAAAAGCTTATGGTGTGTACTATTAGTACGTATATAAATATCGAAAATATAAGTACTGTTACAGAAAATGGATAATGCTTTTGCACACGAGCCTCCAGGGTTGCCTCGATTATTATTAAATAGGTCACTGGCATGAAACATCTGAGTGGCCGCACACATTTAACGAGGGTGAAATGTGCCATTTTCCAAAATGACATTCATCCCATTTAACTTCACAGCACCAGCTGGCTTGTCAGGGAACTGATCTTGCTAAGCAGCTGCATGAATATTCATTTTACACCTCTTCTGCAGATTTCCAGACTATTTGCAAAGTACACACAGTTTTGTGATTATCACACCTTGAGAATAGTGTTGAAAGAAATCATTAGGAAAAAAAAAAAAAGGCTGATTCAGATCTTATGTGTTCATCTTTGGAATCCGAAAGCACTTTCCCGTTTAACGCAGCTTGGTTTTTAGTCAGTTTTAATTGACGACGATTATAGCAAGCCTATAATTTACGGTAATCGTGTTTCCACATGGACTGTTTCTTGGGAGTAAATCAAAGATTCAAGGACTGCTTTTGTCATTGTATTCCTACGATGTCAATTTGTTGACACTCAAAAAATAAGCCAAAGACAAAACGACAACTATGAATAAGAACTGTGAATAAATAAGCTGCGTGAGTGTCAGTTAAGCAACCAAAAACATAATCAATAATTAATTAGTAAAATGTTGAACAGTTTCTATAAGTGTGTGAGAAACTCTGGCATCATGGATAATAAGGTTTACCGTTTTTATTATGACAACATCACCTCAACTGAAACCAGCGTGTACACCAAGCCCAGATATTACCCAACCAGAGAGTACAGAAGTAATGCAGCTTATAAAACATGTTGCTCTGTTGCTGTGTGTGTGTGTCTGTGTGCATATTTGCATTTGTGTAATAAATCAGTTTGTTCTAATAGCCGTCAGGAGGAAACTCCCGACTAGCTGCGGCAAACAGCTCCAGGTCACGCCAGTTTGTTCAAATTCCTCCCCGTCTCCGTTTGTCCTCACATCACTCTTCAATCATGTTTTCCCTCCATCTTTTTTTTTCCCTTCTTATTTGCCCTCTAATTCCCATCTTACATTTTTCCCCTCTGGAGCACATGTAGTGGTGCAGCGAGGAGGAAAGTCACCTTAAATCGGTTTATTCACTTTCTGATGTGTGAAATTGAGTTTTTCCCTTTTAATATATATATATATATATATATATATATATATATATATATATATATATATATATATATATTAAAATAGATGCCGTTACATTTATAAAAGTTTTTTCTTTTTTCACTAAGTAATATGTTGTAAGAAAATGTATTATCTCAGCAAAAATAAATGTATTTCTTGATTCATTTGGCAGCTATTTTAAAGGATTGGTATATTTGCAACACAAACTTTTTTTTTTTTTTTATAATTGTGACAAGTCAACAATTTGACATTCACATTTTAATTTATTGTGATTTTTCTTGAATCCAAATGGGGTCAGATATATAAATACAGGATAAAATGTGTACTTCCACCCTTCTTATTTTGACGGCTTTCAACTAGTTGAAGAGAAACGAGAAAATAAACGATGTGACTCTGATCATCCAGCTGTTTATGGGGGAGGTTGAATTCATAGATAGTCTTTCTTCTTTATTATTTAATGTGTTTTAGGGAATGCATCAGTACTAATGCTAGTGGAAAAGTCCCAAATCATCATAATATCACCACCATGCTTAACAGTGTTCTTTAGCTTGAAAACATCAAAATTAGACCTTAAAACATAATAATGCAATTGTGGCCAACACTACTAAGTTATGCCAAATTTTCAATCATCCGACCCAAATTTAACCTGTGACAAATAATTGCAATAGTAAATACAATGATGGCAATATCAGGTACAGTTCAGCTGCATTTTCTTAACTCTTTCACTTTTCTTTTTCTTTCTTCTTTGCTGATGACCTTTTGGTACAGAATAATGAAATTCCTCAAGTTTATCACATCGATGGTTGAAACCTGGACACGTGGATTTATGATATCCATTTCAACGATGAGTGCATGTAAAACGTAGAACGTGCACTTTAATTTCCTTCTAAGGTGTTTTTCCCTGAATTGCTGGAAACTGTTGTAAACTTGAACTGCTGACACAGTAGCTGAGTTCAGTTCAACGAGGCTTTTATATGGGTCAGTCTCACCTGAAGTTTTATGTCCCTCATTAAATAAATAGCTTCAGAGGCATAAGACCAAGTTATAAAACCAGGTGGGCATTTCTAAGTGAACTGTAAACAGAAATGTAGTTGTTTTCCTGTTCTCCATCCCCGACTGATGTTTAGATTCATCACATCACAACTGGTACTCAGGCAGCCCTAAGCGAACCTCCCCGAAATTTTTTTCCCCCCCCCCCCCAGTCTCTTTCCCTCATTCACTGCTCAGGGTTTATTTCCTGGGCGCTCAATCAATGTCCACAGCTCAACCGAGTGTCCCCCCCCCCCCCCCCCCCCCAGTCTCTTTCCCTCATTCACTGCTCAGGGTTTATTTCCTGGGCGCTCAATCAATGTCCACAGCTCAACCGAGTGTCCCCCCCCCCCCCCCCCCCCCAGTCTCTTTCCCTCATTCACTGCTCAGGGTTTATTTCCTGGGCGCTCAATCAATGTCCACA